GGCTTGCCTGGGACCGGCAAAACCCACCTAGCTCGGCGCATCGTGGCCGCGCTGCGGGAACAAAAGCAAGCCGTGCGCATCGTGGCCAAGACGCACTGCGCCGCGCAGAACCTGGGCCAGGGAGCCCGCGCGGCTGACCACTGGCTCCGGAAGTTTGTGCGCCATGGGAACGTGCGCCTGATTGATTGGCTCGTGGTCGAAGAAATCACGCAGCTGGACACCGCGCTCTGGAACGACATTGCGTGCTTGGCCCTGAACACCCGCATCCGCTTCCTGCTCCTGGGCGACTTCCGCCAATTGCCCGCTGTGCTAGATAGCTTTGCCGGCGCCGAAGTTCAGCGTGAGCTCCAGCAGGCGCAGCTCATAAAGACATTGACGCGGGGCTACCGGCACGAATTGGTGGAGAACATGCAAGCGTAGCGACCAGGTAATCTTCGACTTTTTGCGCTGGCTGCGAATTGATGAGCCCGATGAGACCCCACTGAACCGCGCGCTCCGCGAAGCTTGGGCCAAGTTCCCGGACAAGCGCATCACACCAGACACGGCCCTGGCAATAAGCCATTGGCATCGCATTCAACTGAAAAAATCAATAAATCGGACCAAAGCCCCAGCAGGCGCCATACTCTTCGTATATTCCCCTAGTGAGACCACCAAGAATTTGACCAATAAGCCACAGACCATGCGGATCTGGCCGGGCATCCGACTGGTGGGCGCGGGCGGCAAGATTTGCAAAGGCACGTTTGCAACGGTCAAAACATGTAGCGACGAAGCCGTGGAGCTAGAGGACGGGACGGTGCTCAAAAAGGACGACCTCTTCAAGTACACCCGCTTGCCACACGCCGTCACATACGCAAGCTGTCAAGGCCTCACGCTTTTCGGGCATGTGACTCTCTGCGACGTTTCCAGCCCACACTTCACACTCAGGCACTTGTACGTGGGAAGCTCCAGAGCGACCCGCTCGGACCTCTTGTCTGCGCAGACGCGGTAGAATAAAATGCTGCGCTCGTCCGACGAACCTCCATCAGCCCCCATGTCTTTTCGAGACTGTCTCATCTGCAACGTGGAGGTGGCTTGTCTCATAGCGGGCCTCGTCGCCTTCATCTGGTTTGCTTGCGACCCGGAGAAAAATGCCGAGGCTTCTCGAACTGTTCAGCGGCACGGGCTCGATTGGCAGGGCCTTCGCGGCTAGGGGCTGGGAGGTGGCTTCCGTGGACCTGGACCCCTGTAATGCCCGCGCAGTGGCTTGACCTCCTCGATGCGGTAGACTTGGCTGCCGTCAGGGTGTTTCAGGTCCCGGAGGGCTTGCAGGAGATGCTGGTGTTTCTTCGGTAATTGCTGGACAACCACGCAGTCAGTCTTGATGCATCTGATGTAGGAGGGTAGCGCGGCCCGCAGCTCGTGCTTGATTCTGGCCACAGCCACGTACTCCGCCGCCATCACAAAGTCGTGCAGCGGCCTGTGGCTTGCGTTGCTCATCAGATTGCGCATGAAGATGAAGTCCCAGTACTCTGCAAGCGGCTGTTCGGATTCAGCGACAATTTCTTCTCCGACTCTCATCCCCTCTTCCGCGTCCTCTTCAATCGCCTGTCCGGGTAGGGGGGATGCAAAGACGCTGAAAACCCGCCGCTCTTGGCACCCGTAGCCGTCTAGCTCGTTTTGGCTGCTCCGCATGGTGTACACCACGTCCATGTTGCGGGCCCAGAGGCCGATTAGCGCATTTACAGAAAGCTTCGCGTAATGCTCCTCGCCGTCAGGCCATGCCCGCTCCATGATATCCAGTGCCTTGTGGAAACACTCTGGCGTGACGTGTGCAGTGGCGTCCAAGGAGTACTTGAAGTCATCCCACGTAGCCATGCCTGTTCCGAGCATGAAGGCGGTTATGGGTTTGCCGTACCAGCCTTCGCC